GTACCCATCGGTGACATCACAGATGTGGACATCATCTGATGTCCAGTAGTACCCGTCGGTGACATCACAGATGTGGACATCATCTGATGTCCAGTTGTACCCATCGGTGACATCACAGACGTGGACATCATCTGATGTCCAGTTGTACCCATCGGTGACATCACTGCAGTGGACGTTCAGGAGAAAGTGTCAAGGAGACCACCTTTCTAAGCGCCATCCTCTGCACTCGGCCCCTCCAAGCACAGCTGCAGCCCGTGGAGCAGGCAGAGGAATGAACACTCCGGTCCCAGTCAGCCCTAGGTGGCCACCTGCAGCTGGCCAGCACTCCACACAGCACACCAGACTCCCTACCTCTATGCCCAACTGTGGGAGGCCGGAAACCCAAGCAGCCGGCCCCAGAGGCCTCTGGGGAAGCGGGCCCCAGGCATTCTGGGCATTGCAGTCCAGCATCCTGCCTGGGAAGCCCTCACCATGATGGCCCATGGAGCATTCTGGGTATTGCAGTCCTGCATCCTGCCCAAGCAACCCTGACGTGATGCCCCCCCTCCTGGAAGCCGAGAGCCATTAGCATTCTGGGTAGTGTAGTCCAGATGTCTGTCCACACAGCCCTCACCATGATGGGCCCCCAGGGATTCTGGGTAGTGTACTTTGGCGCTCTGTGGTGTCCTTCCAGATATCCTGGGCAGCTGCAGGGCGGGAGGACTCTGGATATTGTAGTCTAGTGTTCTGCCTATTCAGCCCACACTACATAGGATCTGTAGACTCCTCAGCTGTGTCCATAACAATCCTCCTGATCCCTCCTGGTGTATACTGAGGGGAGTTGCACCCCACTAATGGGACACCAGGTGGGACCTAGTGAGAGTTCCCCCAAAATTGGTCACACAGGTGGGCCCTCAGGTGCTGGGCAGGGGGCAGGAGCCATGCTGTCTCGAGTGTTGCAGTAATTTACTTGCAGGTCAGCATGGGAAAAGAAAGAAGAAGCAGAGCAAGCGAAGCAGCAGCAGAAAAAAAGTCCTTTATTGTGTACAAGCAATCTTTTTATAGTATTGTGAACAAAGAAGGCAGCTTTCCAACATCAATAAATCAGGTCTTTCAGCTAATTATGAAAGACCCCAGCCCAACAACGTCAGGCCTAGTTGCAAAACCACCGAGGCATGTCACAAACCTATGCAGGCACCAGAGGTGTTTTTCAGATAATCAGGTGTAAACCAGGTCCCAAGGCATGCCTGAATAAGCAAGAACAAGAGGACCAGAGTGCAAACATGTAGCTTTTATGTGGTTTTTCCAGTAACATAAAGTGAAAAACAACTTTGCCCTTTAGGTAGCCTATATGCTGGGTTTAAAATTAACTAATAAGAAACCTATTGCTTACCGTGTGCGAAAACTGCCCCTTTACCCTATAAATATCTCTGTATCCCCAAGCCTGGTGTGCCAGTTCACCAAAGCTCCGGCTGAGGTTCTGCTGGGCACCCGCAGGCGCCTGTGTCTCAATAAACCACCTCATGCTTTTGCAGCCAGTGTTTCGTGTGATTCTCCTTGGACAGGGAAACGGGGGTCTTTCAATTAAACATAGCATACAGAAGTTTTACTTTCTAATCAGAAGTGACCCGCTTCTCATGGCTAATCTATTCTCGGCCTAGAGTATGTTGAGCTCTGCTCTTTGTTAAGAACAGATAATAAGATTTTTCTTATCGCCCTCCTAGCCCACTTGGCAGAACATCCCGTTTGCAGGCAAGTCCTCCCAAGGACAGCAGACACCTCGTTTTCAAGCATGTCCATTGTTACCTATCTATACCTTGACAGAATATCCCATTTGTAGGCAGACTCCATCAAGGACAGTAATAGTAATGCAGTCACATTTGATTTTTTACACTCGAGGGGCCTGTGATGAAGGGGATGACCCCTGGCCTTGCCATCCTATCCCAAGGTCATCATGCATTCCAGGATGGGTGCTACCAGGCAAGACAGAAGCTGCAGGCCAAGAATGTTGACATCCCAGTGACACCTGTGTTCCATGGAGGTAAGGAGGACAGGCCTGGACCCTCAGGGCTCCTGCCCCCTCATCTGCCTGGGAGCTAAGCTCTGAGGGGACCAACAACCCAGGCATATAGAGGGGAACCTGGGGTCTGGGAGACCAAGGCCACTGGCCTGAGCTCAGAGGGACTGGGGAGGGGGGAGCGGGAGTCCTCAGTGGAGGCAATGGAGGGACAGTGGTCCCTGTGGTTTAGGTACTTGTCAGCTCATTGCTCTGCCTCAGCAATGCCACCCAGCCTGCACCCAGCCTGTCTCCTGGGTAGTGACCAATGTTTTCTCATCACAGCTGGTTGGACACAGGGCTGGCTCCTGTGTGCACAGGCCCTCAAGGGTCGCCACCACTGCTCCTCTCATGTCCCCTGGGAGACTGGGTGGTGGGATATGGGATCAGATATTGGGGTGAGCAGATGCCACCTGGGGAGGGGGGAGGGGGAGGAAGCTGATCAGTAACGGGGTAATGGGACATCATCTGTGGAGGGGGAGGGGAGGAAGGTGGTCAGTTATAGGGTGGTGGGACATCACCCAGGGAAGGGAGGGGGAGGAAGGTGGTCAGATAAGTGGTGATGGGACATCACTGGGGAGGGGGGGAGGGTAGGAAGCTGGTCAGTAATGGGGTGATGGGACATCACCAGGGGAGGGGGAGAGGAGGAAGTTGGTCAGAAAAGGGGTGATGGGACATCATCCAGGGAGGGGCAGGGGAGGAAGATTGTCAGATACAGGGTGATGGGACATCATCCGAGGAGGGGCAGGGGAGGAAGGTGGTCAGATAAGGTGTGAGGGAACATCATGGGGAGGGGGAGGAAGATTGTCAGATACAGGGTGATGGGACATCATGGAGAGAGGGGGAGGGGAGGAAGATTGTCAGATACAGGGTGATAGGACATCGTCGGGGAAGGGGAGGGGAGGAAGGTGGTCAGATATGGGGTGGTGGTACATCACCCAGGAGGGGGAGGTTGAGGCATGAGATCGGTATCTGGTGACCAGTTATCAAGGGTGGCTCTGGCTACTTTTGGGTTCACAGAGACCTGCTGGATGGCTGCAGGGCTTCCTGCACCTATGTAGGCAGGCAAGCAGAGACAGACAGCCACGTGATCAGAGGAGACTGCTCCAGAAGGTGCGATTTCAGCTGAGGCCCAGAACAAAAGGAGCAGTGAAAAGCTGGGGATCCCGGGGTCTGAAATGCGCACCAGGTGGACAGAGGAGGGACACCAAGAGAGGGAGTTGGGGCATGTCCAGGAAGGACAGGAAGGGCCAAGGTGCCCGAAGGGTACAGCACTGAAGAGAGCCCAGAGGCCCTGGAAGGGCCAAGTGTGTACGGAGAAACCCCAGTGTGTACGGAAAGGGGCAAGGATGGACAGGAAGAGCTCTAGGCTGCTGAACTGTGGCGCTGAGAGCCCAGGGGTTTGGGGGAGGACCGAGTTTCTTCGGAGAGGGTCGAGGGTCGAGTGCAGAGTCAAAAAGGGACCGAAAGAGCCGATGTTGGTAGGGAGTAGTTGAGGGCCAAAGAAGGGGTTGAGGGGCGGCGCGGAATATACAGGTCTTGAGAGGATCTAGGGGGAGCCACGCAGAGGGCACTGGGAGGGCCAGAGGCTGTGGTTGGGTCGGGAGCGGTCGGCAGGCGGGGCGGGGAGCAGGGCGGCCTCATCCCTGCTGGGTAAACACTGGACCCAAGCCTCACCTAAACCCAAGTCTCCATCCAAACTCAAGCCTAACCTAACACAAATAGATATCTTCTCTCCTGGCTTCTTTGCCTGTGTCCACCTGCCACACTCCCACCTTCCTGATGCCAGGGAGTTGAGGTGACATGAAGCAGAATATGGACAATGTCATCACTTTCAGCACTGACTTCTAGGTAGCCTCATCTGTCTCAATATTAGGCCATTCAACAGTTCTCCCAGAGGAAATGGGCTTTGCTACCTACCTGCAGGGTCACCCTGTGGGTATGACCAGGGAGAAATAGTGCCAGGAGAACACATCTGTCCACTGTGACAGAGTCTTAAATGTGGGCTCACTTGGTCCAGCCAAAGCCCACCAAAGAGCTGAGGAGGGCGTGGTGACAGAGTTGAAAACAGACCTCCAGAGACCAGTTTCAGAGAACTCAATCCACTTTATTATTGTGTACCTTTGGTCTACCTGTCTGTTTTGGTGCCAATACCATGCTGTTTTGTTACTATTGCTCTGTAGTATACTTTAAGGCCTGGTATAGTGGTGCCACCTGCTTCACCCTTCCTGCTAAGGATTTCTTTAGCTGTTCTGGGTCTCTTATTTTTACAGATGAATTTCATGATTGCTTTTTCTATTTCTACAAGGAATGCCACTGGGATTTTGATAAGAATTGCATTAAATCTGTATAGTGTTCTTGGTAGTATGATCATTTTGATAATATTAATTCTGCCTATCCAAGAGCAAGGTAGATCTTTCCATCTTCTAAGGTCTTCTTTGATTTCTTTCTTTAGGGTTCTGTAGTTTTCATTGTATAGATCTTTCACCTCTTTTGTTAAGTTGATTCCCAAGTATTTTTGTTTTTTGAGACTCTTGTAACTGGGGTAGTTTTCTTCATTTTCCTCTCAGAGTATTTGTCACTGATATACAGAAATGTCTTTAATTTATGGGTTTCAATTTTATATTCTGATACTTTGCTAAATTCATTTACTAGTTCTAGAGTTTTCTGGTGGAGCTTTTTGGGTCTTCTAGGTATAGAATCATATCTTCAGTAAATAGTGCTAACTTAAGTTCTTCTTTTCCTATACAAATCCCTTTAATTTGTTTCATCTAATTGCTCTGGCCAGTGTTTCAAGAACTATGTTA